ATGCACAGTATATAAGTGATTGTAGAAAATGAAAATGAAAATGAAATAAAAGATATATACATGAAAAAAAAAAAAAAAATAATGCTTTAGCAAATAAATTATCAGAGCATAGCTAATTTTTATTCTTTGATCGTACAGGTAATCCTTGACATATGACCAGTCACTTAATGGCTATTCAAAGTTACGATAAGCTCTCCAATAGCTACATACAACCCTGTTTTGAAGTTGTGACTGCTGCAACATTTCCCCCGCATATTCCCCCCCTCAGGACCCCGCAATGCTTGGGTCTGCTCCCCATACGCCTATCACCCATTGTGCACAATTACAATTCTGGACAGCAGAACGCAATTTGGCCTCTGGAAATAAAGTGTCTGCTTCCAGAATTGCACCATGCAGTCAAGAGAGAAATATCCAGGGCCTTGCTGATGCTTGCCAGGCTGAAAAAAAATCTAAGTGAAAGAGTGCCAACAATCTGGAAAAGTTTGGTTTTATCCAAAGATAATTGGAAGCATTTGTTACAGAGAAGAGCCAATGTATGAGAAATTTGTATGAAAAACAGATCTGAATAATTCTGCACAAACTGAACAGACAAAAGAACGAAGGACTTTCTTACCGGCATTGCACAGGAAGGATTTTCTCCACACATATATTGAATTTTAATGGTAATGTTTCGTCCTGAAGCCAAGCGATTTACAAAATTCAACCGCTGTGGATACACATAAAGAAGATTTCTGGGGGGAGAGAAGGATGATGATAATGATGATGATGATGATGATGATGATGATTTTAATTAAGTTTATACTAGTTTCACTTTCCTTTTACTCATCAGCAATACTTTTTCCCCCAGAGAAATACTAATGTATAAAAATCCTGAAAGTGGATTTCACTTTTTTTAAGACAAAGAAATGCACCATTTTCTTTTAGATTATCCCTTTTAGAAAGCCAAAATAAACATTTGTCTCCAAGTACAAGGATGAAAAAACCCTTTGTAATGAATTTTGGTTTGCTCCTGGATTATCAAGTAAGTGAAAGTATACGTTCGTCTCCAAATTATTTTAGAAACCAAACTATCAAAGGCAAAAAAAAAGATGTAGAAAAAAGGTATTTTGTGGGGGCACACAAAATTGACAAGATGATGGACAGAGCATCACAACGCAAAACTCATTCTCTTTTGAATGCAAGAGATATACATACATACATACATACATACATACATACATACATACACGCATACATACATACAGTACATGGTTAAGACTGGGACATTGTATCCGCCTTCTTGACAATTTTGACAAAACCTTGTCCTGTAAATGCTACTGATGCTAAAGAAACTAAAGTTCAAAGCATGTAACTTATCTGGTAATTGAGGGGGAAAAGACTGCAATTCTGAAGCAATTTTATTTTAAAAATTAATGAATCCCCCTTTCCAGAAAGGAAAAAAAATCATAAAATACTTTAGAGTGTAGGTATGCAAGTGATAGAGGATATTCTTTGACATTTGCAATGAAATATTTTAATAAGGTAGTCATCTGATTGAAACCAGATCCATTGTTTTAACTCCAAAACATTTGACGCTTCTCCTCATGAGCAGAATATTAAAGTTCAATTCCACCAAATCAAGAGAAAACAAAGGCTCAGAAGGGCCATTCACTTTGCATTTACATCTCACCCACCTCATCTCTCATTTTACAAAAAAATCTTAAAACACCAGGGATAGACTATTCTTAAATTAGGATTTATTTAGGTCGGTGGCCATGATAATAATAAATATGTTAAAACTATACTTGATAAATGGGAAACATTTTCTAATACAGTTAGGTATACAGATTCTCACACAGTTACCAACACACCATAATTCTCATGACTTCCTTATTATATATTACAGTATGTCAGAAATGATGACTCAGCTGAAAGTACTGCAATAAACAAGCAGGTCACATATGAATGTTTTATTTCTTATGAGGTGAATTATGTTAAGTAGAATATGATAGAAAAAAGTGGTCAGATTTTATTTCAATTCAATAAAGAACGTTTTTTTTCCTAGAAGTACAAATAAAAGAGTAAGAGACAAAGTCAGTTCTGGCTGCATACCAGGAAATATTTCTTGAGCATATAGATATTTAATGTATTTTTTGAGGTACTGTCTTTATCTTCTTACTTAAAAATGAAATTGTAAAGTGATTTGTTTAAAGAGATATAAAGTGGAACTACAGAATTAATTCGCCACCATTCCTTGTAATCCCTTTCCAAAAATATTTGGTCTTATTGCATGCCTTCTTTCTTGCTCTGAAGCAGAGAGGGCAAAAAAAATAGGGCAACTCCTCCATTTGAAGAGATCAAGCACAACATTGCTTATAGTTTTGTTTCTGAAGGTAGACGGTTTCTTGAATAATCTCCACATTTGAAAGAAAATATTATTGAAATACATGCATACAGAAGCTCCAGTGATGGGTTTCAAAATATTTTAGAATGGTCTGTTTTGTGGGAGTGGCTTGCCGGCCATGTGACTGGGTGGGAGTGGCTTGCCAGCCATGTGACTGGGTGGGTGTGGCCAACATGCAAAATGTGGTGAAACTCACTTAACAATGTTCTTGCTTAACAACCAAAATGTTGGCTCAGAAACTCTGGCATATGAAGCACGCAAGTCTTAAAGCTGTCAAGTTACAAGACCCTTGCACCCTAAGCCGTTAGAAAAAAAAACCCCCAGGGGTGTGCAAACTTGACAGCTTTAAGACTTGTGGACTTCAACTCCCAGAATTCCTACATACATACATACATATTTGCATTTTTATGACTCACCAGCATCTGCATCTATAGATAAAAGTATGCCAATAAAATGTACATTCATTTCACTGTCTCCCATCTATGATCCAGCTAGAAGTATTCATCCATCTATGATTTTTTTCCACATTTAAAATGACCTTCATCTTGACAATATTCATGTTACATTTAGCATAAAAGATAGGTAGTGGATATTGCATATCAAACATTTTGTATTTCATCTTAAAACATACTCACTAAATATCGGAATTCCATATGATACTAAACAGAAAATTCTTTTTCCTATAAAAAAAATGTACTGAGAAATTGGAATTAATACATTGCATCATATTGTTCTTACCTTAATATGTACTTAAAAAAAATTGAAGATGAATGATAATCTAACTAGTTTCCTCCTCTTGCTTTCTTAATGTTAGCACATTTCAGAAACTAAAAAGCCTTTGGTATTTGATCGACCTCTTAAACTTGCAACTTGCTTGCCATGTAGTTGGATCACAGCCCATTAAGATCCAGTGGCTCAAAGCTGGGAGAGATCCTCTGATAAATGCAGCTTCAGCTCTGCAAATGGAACAGCTCTCTCAGAGATCCAAGCAGTTACTAAAACTGATTCTGCGGAATATGTGTGCAAAGAGTAGATATAGTTCATTCCTTTTTTAAATGAAAATTATCAGTACTTTTGATCAGTGACGTCATCAAA